AAACATCTTTTTTTTTTTAAATAAAAAGGTCAATCATTTCCAAAAGATAAAAGACAGGTGGTCTACACAGCTTATTATAATACAGATCAACATCACAAATCACAAATATTTGAAATAGTATTTCAAATAAAGATATTTCTTTTCCATTTGGGATATTAAGAGCTATCAGTTTATAACGTATTAAATTAAATGCTCTTTTGGTACTAAAGGTTGGCATCAGTATCCTGAACTGAGCTTGTGAGCTAAATGATATGGCAGTTAATGTAAAATGCTGTTTTACTTGGGGATGAAATATAAGAATACAATGTACACTCAGCAGACAAACTTTCCATGTTTTCTTAATTCCTTGTATTTCCAAGCAGTGTGTTCATCACAAGCTTAATCACTATTTGTGACTTTTTGTAAGAGCTGAATATAAATGTAAAATATTAAAGAGCTAACATGTGTGAAAATTTACTTTTTCAGTTAAGTATGGCCATTTCTGTTGAGGTCTGTATTACAAAGCAGTGTCGGCTCGTCCGGGTGACTTCTGGGATAATCTTTCTGTACAACCAAGATAGTTCACTTCTTTCTGGGTTGTACTGCCATGGCAACTTATGCTGACAAAATAATCATAAACAGAGTAGGTTATGATCCAGATTATAAATCAGCAGGCTGTAACAATTAAAGTCTCACTATTGTCCCACCAAACAAGCCTTTTAGTGTTCTTAATCTTCTTTCTTCATCACTTTTCTCTCAACACTTCCTGATAATAAAAAAAAAACCTGCTCACAGTGTTTCTATTTTTAAATTGATTTTGCTTTTGCTTCATAGGTTAAATGTGTTGTTTGCTTGAACTGTGACATTCATCACTCCCTTATCTGAGTTTTAATGTCATAGCCGGTCCTGAGCACTCATGAGCTGAGGCGTGTGTTCCGGAGCATTAACACCAGGAAGGCGGCCGGGCCGGATGGAGTGCTGGGCCGGGTGCTAAAAGACTGTGCTGCGGACCTGGCGGACGTCTTCACCTCTATATATAACACCTCGTTGTCCTGTTCACTGGTACCATCCTGTTTCAAAGCAGCAACCATCGTTCCCATCCCAAAACAGTCAAATGTCACATGTCTGAACGATTTCAGACCTGTGGCACTCACCCCCATTCCCGCCAAATGCCTGGAGAGACTGGTCATTAAACACATCAGAGCTGCTTTTCCACCATCCCTGGACTCGCACCAGTTTGCATACAGGGAGAACCGGTCAACCGAGGATGCGATCGCCACAGTGCTGCACACATTACTGAAGCACTTGGAACACAGGAACACCTATGCACGGCTCCTCTTTGTAGACTACAGCTCGGCTTTTAATACCATCCGGCCATACAAACTCCGTCCCAAACTCCACCAACTGGGACTTAACTCCTCTCTGTGCAACTGGATTGTGGACTTCCTCACTAACCGTAGACAGAGTGTCAGAGTGGGTAAGAACACCTCTTCCACCCTTGTGGTCAACACCGGTGCCCCTCAGGGGTGTGTTCTGAGCCCTCTGCTATACACTCTCTTCACCCATGACTGTATTTCCTCCTGCGCGTCCAATCTCATTGTTAAGTTTGCAGATGACACTACAGTGCTCGGACTTATATCCAACAATGATGAGACAAACTATAGGACAGAGGTGCAACAACTAGAGTCATGGTGCCACGACAATAACTTGGTCTTAAACACCAAAAAGACCAAGGAGATCATTGTAGATTTCCGGAAGAGGGGTCATAACAACCATCTGCCTCTCTTCATTGGCAGTGAGGCGGTGGAGAGGGTGAGCAGTTTTAAATTCTTGGGGGTAACTGTGACCGAGGACCTGTCCTGGGGCAACCATATCACCTCAGTTGTACGGAAGGCCCAACAGCGCCTCTACTACCTGAGGAGACTGCGGAGCGCACACATTCCCAGATCTCTGATGTTGAACTTCTACAACTGTGCCATCAGCAGCGTTCTGACGTATGGATTTCTAGTGTGGTTCCCCAGCTGCACCAAGGCCGATCAGCAAGCACTCCAGCGGGTGGTGAAAGAAGCTGGCAGAATTATTGGAACAAGTCTGCCAGAGATCAGTAATATCTTCCCCACTCGCTGTCTGAGGAGGGTGCACAGTATCCTGCGGGACCAACATCACCCTGCGCGCCACCTTTTCCATCTGCTGCCCTCAGGGAGAAGGTACAGGTCTATACAGGCCAGAACATCCAGACTGGCCAACAGCCTGTATCCACAGGCTGTGAGGCTCCTGAACTCTCTGCCCCCCTCTCACGGACAATAACCATATCCAACTTCTTAATAGCAATGAACTGGTCTGCATTGGTGCATCATATCTTTATTCTCTTCCCCCTCCTGCCCCCCCCTCTTTCTTAAATAGATAACTATCATATCTGATATCATATCTCACAGTACAATAATATTGAATGGGTTGCATTGTTGTATTTTGTCATGTTTCTCAGGTCTTTTTCTGAATTTCTACGACCATTATTGCTAAGGATTGTCTTATTGCATTGGAGTCACACTGGGTTAAATATGTACACTTGGGTTTTAAGGGGTATTTATTATTTTCTTCTTTTTTTTGGGTTGTATGGAAGCCCCAAACGCAATTTCATTGTTCTTGACAATGACAATAAATAAATAAATACTAAATACTAAATACATAGCCACCTTCAAATGTTTATCAATAATCCAATATTGAGAACAGCTTTTGGTTTGTGAAAACAAAGAACAAATGGTAAAACAACCTCTTCATGATTTCAGAAAAGTAACGAGTTATTTAATTTCATAAAATGTGCAGAATTAAAAATCTTTAAAATCTTTAAAGACATTTGCATTGTGTCCTGCACTGGATGCAGCTATATTAATTTTTTGAGATTGAAGAGTATATAGTATGCAACAAACTGTGCAAATGAAAACACAGAAAGAAGAAAACACAAAAAGAAAGATAGAAAGAAAGAAAACAAAACTATAAGGAATTCAAGAAAATTAGATATCATCTTGCTAAATATGAGGAAGGAATGGCATGTAGTTTAAAAAAAAAAAAACACCGTGGAGCAACCTACCATTTAGCTCCAATTGCAAAATTATTGCGAAGCCTTCTGTTTTCACTGAGTTACACAAGTAAGTGTTCAGAATGACTAGATGTAACATTTATCTGAAACAATGTGTTTCTTGTTGAGTTTAAGGAATTCCATTTACTGTTGTGGTTATATAGCTGTTATAGTTTGTTCCTGATAATGCTGTGGTGTTATTTACAGTTGTTGTTGTGGTAGAAAAGAGATGCTGTATAAAGAGTGAAGTTATTTACAGGCCTATCTGTACCAGCTGGAGTGGGAGTCACAAGTTTGATTCCTACCCGGTATCCAGTAAGGGTCCTGGCTAGACCAGCTATGCTAAAAACCAAGCCCTGGAATGGCGTGGCTTCATCTGCAGCTCGGACACAAGTATTTTGCTACATGTTGTATGTAGTCTGTATGATTGTGTATGTGACAAATAAAGGTTAGTTTCTTGCTTACCTTGGATACATAGTGTTTGTCTTTTAAACCATCTCTAGTATGATGATAATCATCATACAAATACTCTGCTAGTGTGACTGTTCACAGTATAAGAAACATTTATTAATGGTGTCTTTTTGGTCTAAAACTAGGGCCTAAATCCATGCAGTCAGGGGTGGGGCTTTATTTTGTTGGACACACCATGCAGCCAATCACATGCAAAGACAGAGTAGGGTCATACCATTATCTGTAAGAAGAAGGGGGTCAGACGTTCCCAAGCCAGCAAGTATCGTGGTAAGGCCAGATACACTGAGAGATGGTGGAGCCGGATTTAAATGTAAGAGTTTTGGGGAAAAGTGAAGAAATGTGCAAAAGCATAAAAGGAGAAACATCTGGCTTCATTTTAATGATACTGGGTGTCCAAGTGTCTAAATGAGTCTCACAGGCATGAATGAAGATTTCAGAGATTTAAATAGGCAGATTTTTGCTAAATGAGTTGAACAGGGCAGAATTGTTTTTTAAATAAATGTTTATTCATCTACATTCATCACCAAAAAGTGCAAAAAATGCAAATAAATCTAAAATCCTAAAGCACTTCTCAATTGCATTTATTGGTTGCAAATAGCCATTAAACCTTCTTTTAATGTAAATTTATATATAAATTACTGACTTCATTTTGCATTTCTATAGTTAATACCTTTTTTCCCCATGAATACCATCACCAGGGAAGTAGAGAAAAGGGGGAAAAAAAAAAGGGGGGGGGGGGGGGGGGGAACCAATTATCTGGTGTAACAGCTCTAACATATGAGCCAATAATGGAAGGAAACGGCAAAAGTTGAATGCATGATATGCAACTACAACTCCTCCTTTTTATATGCAAAAAATTTTTTGCTCTAGCTTATTTGGTTGCAATTCTACCGGGATTTAATGAGAACACTCCCACTTAGAAGGGTTAAATAGCTCTATATTTTCTGTGAGATATGTATACCAACGCAGAATGATCACAGATCCATCCTGGCCACCCCACTGAAAATTTCCTGGCTCCGCCACTGCTCATGGAGCCTTGGAATTGTCATAATGTTTCTTCACTTTTACACCGCTCTTTGCTGCATAAATGACATAAAAAAATGAACCTAGTGCAAGTCACTTAAATGATTAAAAAATCATTTTAAAATAATAAGAGGAAAAAAATTCTACAAACCATCAGGTTTACATTAAAGAACAAAAGAGTTAATTAAAAATAGAATACTATATAGATGAGGAAGTCTCTTGATTGAGTCTCACAGAGACTTCAGTGCTGTTCTCAGGAGCTGTAAGGTCCACAGAAAAAAGTACAATATTATTAAAATCATTGTTTCATATCCAGATTTTTCGGTTTTAAGTTCTTTACAATTAAACAAATAAAGTCTAACATGTACTATGCTGCAAAAAATAATATAACTGAGCCGTGCACTGCAGCTGCTCACTGCACTGATGAACTTAGCTCCTTTGAAACTCTCACCTTTCTTCTTTTTGTAAACAGCAAATCCAACGGTGGCAATGATGATGAAAATAAGAAGAGCAACGACTATAGCAATGACTGGAGCTGTTGTGTCAGAGGGATTATCTGCTCAGTAGAAAACACAGAAGATAAAATGTGCAAATTAAGCAGGTTAGAAGAGAAGATGTCCATTCTGTGGTGGATTTCTATTAACAACATAATGGTGAGGGGAGTTGATTACACTACGTGAGTCTCAACGAATGTAACTATACATGTAATGTATACATATAAATTAAATAATAATATAAGTTAATAATAAGTTTGTCATTTTTGTTTTCTGTTATGATTTCCATTAGTTTTTATTATGGTAATAACTAATTGAGATCAGAGTCCAAATAAAAAACAGGACAAAACATTCAAATATCAACCAACAGTATCAGCAGACAAAATAAATGTGTTTCTCCCAACTTAATCATTACCGGTTCTCTCACTCCTGTTGGATCTGATTCGTGTTCTATCCAGTTTTGTGATGATGTTCCTAACACCAGAGAGCTCAAACACACAGTCGTATCTGTTCCAGTCTTCAGGTGTGACTGATGAAACATTCAGTTCAACAATTGTCTGGAAGGTCCCATCATTGTTGGGGATGATTTCTCCAAGATCCACACCATCATGAATCTCCACTCCATCTTTTTTCCACAACATCACGGCACTGTCAGGATAGAAACCTGTAGCGTGGCAGCTGACTGGAGAGGAGAGAGTCTTCTGGAGAAGAGACACTGAGGGAGGAACTGGAGAGAGGGAAGGTGGGAAAGAAATGAAGAGAGAATGGATGAACGTAAACACGAGTGAGAAAAAATTGGTGAAGAAAGGCAAGAAGAACAAAGATGAAAAACTTTAATATGAAGATATTAACAAAAATATATTTGATGAGAAAAACACCACAATAGCAGTGGAAAATGTGGAACTCAAGAAAAAAACTGAAAAAAAGATTGAATATGCAATTCAAAACTTCAAATTACTTTAATCATTAGAGCCAAAGAGTCACCAGCTTTTCAGCAGCTCCATAAGGCTGTATTACCAATACCATGAGTTCCGTTCATAGAAATCTCTTTCAACCGTGAACATTTATATAAAACGACCAGTTTTGACATCTAGCCCATTTTAAACTCATCAACAGTTTAAAATGGGGAAATTACCAAAATCGGTGGCACAAGTTGCATTCCATCAGTGCAAACAAGGCAACCAACGCCTAGTAAAATCCAAAAATAGATATTGGTTAAAGCCAAAGTCAAATATCCATTCATCTCTGTGTGAGAATGAAAGAAGCTTTAGGACAGAAGCTCTCTCCATTCATCTCATACAGAGATGAACGGAGAGAGCTTCAGTCCTAAAGCTTCTTTCATTCCTGTTTGCATTACTGCCATCTTGTGATCATAGTTTGGTATTTTCTGGAATCACAATTAACTCTGTTCCCCAGTATGTCTGTGAAGGATCTCAGTCATCCAGGTCATTGTAGTCTAAGGAGATTTGAAAGAAAAGCGCTTGGACTTCTATAAGTTATAAGTTCAATAAGGAAGATCTATGGCCTCACATCTGTCCATTCCAAGGTGCTGCCGGCTAAATCTAAGCTTTATCACTTTATCACTCCCACTTTCCCACACTGTCAAGGCGTTTGCGTTATCACTGGTCTAGTCCAATCACCTTCTCCCAGCCCTCTCCAGGCCAATCAGTGTTCATGCCTCATACTTTAAATCTCACAGCGCATCTGTCTTTCTCCTTCGCAGACACAGTTGTGCACCTCCTCCCCATCTCCACTGTTCATGACTCAGGCTCCATTCAAGCCACCTTCATCTCCACCACCAGCATCTAGGCTCTGGGCAGTCCTGCTCTAATCCCTTTTACAGCTGGGGTTCTGCTCTGCCGAGACAGGCCATTGGGGTCTAACCGCCAAACACCTTAATCTATATTCTGTTGATCAATAAATCATGTTCATTCTTTTTAATGATCGCTCCTTATTGAACTGGGACCTGTTTGGAGCCTGTGTTTTAAGGGTTTGTCTGTGTATTGTTAGGGTTGAGCTTGTCAAGTGAAAAAAAAAATTTCTGGTTGTTTGCACACTGTCGATTGGCCAGGTAAAAAAAGAGTCATTTTCGCAACATGGAAAATTCTGACTTTAAGCTCAACACAGCTGTTACCTTTTTTGTTCAAAGAGCTGCTCCCATAGTCCAAAAAAATCTTCAGTTTCGGATGAAACATACTGAAGAGGTTTTCAACGTATTTAATTAGATTTCTGTGATCATTCAGCATCTGTTCGCTAATTTGAAGCTCTGGTTTCAGTGTGATGATTGTCTTTGTCTTCGGATCAAATTCAAAAATGCCTTCTCCGTTAAAACCAAACTGTAAAAAGCATGAAACCTCTCCAGAGTTTTCATTCACATTGCAGCCAATTATGCTCTGTAAAATGTGAACACCTGGAAAGAGAAAGAGAAACAAAGATTACAATTACGTGTCATTTGTACATTGCGTGACACATTTCTTCTATCAAAATTCTACATTGTCTTTATTGACCGTAAATAAAATCGTGGATGATTTAAAAGTCTGATGTGCCCGTTTTTTAAGATTAAGATTCAGAACAATTAAATAATTAGAACAAGTAAATACATGTTTTACATCAGGATTCCTGGTTTCAATTAAGATTAATTAAGTTAATTATTTTAACGAATTTTATAATTAATCAGTTTTGTGTAGATACATACATGATAATATGACATAGTATATCAAAGAAAGTACTGCACCTTCATTTTGGTTTAAAAGCTGCTTCCAATTAGAAATCAAGCTTTTGAAAAAAATTGGCTGATGCTCAAAACACTCATGAGTGTACCCCAACAACATGTCAGGGTTGTCATCAAACATTTTTTTCACCCAGTCCTGTCTTGGTTCTACTATCTTCTTGCTGGCATCGCAATAAAGCACCTCCGTGTCATCAACCACTGCAACATACATAAGCTCTGAGATGTTTGGGTCTCCAGAGGATCCAGTGACAAGATACTTCAGAGAATGACTCACTGTAGGACAAACAAATGTTTATGATGTTTGCAAATAACAGAAAATACAGAAATAAAACAATTATGACTCATCCATTATGATGCAGTAAAAGAAGCGGAAAAAGTAACAAACACCTTGAGGGGATTGTTGTGATTTGGTGGTAAATAGCTGATTTGAATTGAACTTAATAACAGCGTCTACAGTAGGGCTGAGGGAGTGTTATTGTTTATTATATCAATAAACAACAATAATAATAAAACTTGACAATAAAGAATCTTAATCTTAATCTTACTTTGGTAAAGGTGTGTGGCCAAAGGACTGTGAAGTAGTCTGGCTCGAATGTCAAGGAAAGTGTCAAGGTAAGCAAACTCAGCAGACATTTGGGGTTCCCATAGATGAGCGATTTATTTACAGTGACCTCCATTATATTGAAAATTAACAGAACTCACCCAAATTAACATATGACAAAAATTTAAAAACACAGCTCACCTCTACTTCTTCCTCTGAATCAAACTGAGACTGACTATATAGGGCTGTCAATTTACCTTCAGTTAGTCTAGGCAGTACCGCTAACTTGAGCTGAGAAATCTAAAATTCAACACAAAGGGCTGAGATTCACATAAAGCTGCAGCACAATGCTTACACAAACAAACCCAGGATAGTACTTTGACAAAATTAATCATAGCAAATAAACATATGTAGAAAATAATGTGATTAATGTGCAAAAATGTAATACTGCTGAGACAAGTGGAGAGTGTTCCAACTGCTCATCCGCTTTGTCACAAGGACCAACATTGTAAAACAGTCATACATGCTTTTGAACAGGATTATTTGAGCCTATAATAATGGGCATGGATGTAATTTTGAGCTTTTAATGATTTCTTTGAGCTGTTATTTTTCCAAGGTGAAGTGATTGTGTGAGTGAGCACTAATTTGTACATAATGCATTTCAACGGGAAGGTGTCACCATTGCAACCAAGAAAAATAAAGCTTAGCTGTTTTAAACAAATCCACGGTGTTCTTTCTAAACGTAGGCCAGTACGCCTAACCCTAACCAAGTCTTCTTTTTTTTTTTTTTTAATTCCATAAACCTAACCAAATCATCAAAACATATTTTAAACAAAATATTTTTAAAAAACATTTTTTTAAAAGTCTTTAAAAATGTTTGTTTCATGTTTTGAAAATATTAGTTCCAGGTCCATGCACACATATGAGCATAAACTGGTGAAAATTCATAATCAGGGACACAAATGTAAAGAAATTTGTGATGAGGAATATGAAAAATAAATGTAATTTGAGCCATGAAACAATCAATAGATTTTGAGTTTTTGTTGGTATTTTTTTTTCCTTTCACCAATAGGATAAGGCAGTTGAATGTTGATATTTGTTCTTTTTTGCTGAGGGTCTTTATTCTGTCCGTGCTGTAGAAGCAGTCTTACTTGTGTGTAGCTGGAAAAACATAATTACTGCAGAAAACAAACAAGATTTAGTTCAGTTTATTTCAGAGAGCACTAAGGGAGTGCCTTCAGTCCCTAATTTGATCCCACATCTTCTAAAAAAATATCCCAATTCAAAGATTAATTGTTTTCTAGCAGATGAAAAAAAAATTGCCAAATACTTTTAAATCATCCTCTGCTGAGCAACCTGTGAACCGTAAATAACCTTATTTGACTTCATACTGCACCCACAGCAGTATCTTTTAACATGGGCATGTTTTACTCAGTTTGATCAAGTGTGACTCTGCCTCTTGTTTATGAGCTATTAACACCAGAAGTGTAAGCAGGGGGGAAAAGGGGAAAAAGGGGGGAGAAAAAAAAAGAAAAAAAAGGTAGCACTTTTGATTACAGCTCAGTAATAGTCGTGGTAATAGTAGGGTAACAAGGTGGAAACAAGAACGTTAAATGTGATCATTTCCAAGTTGAAAGGGTGGTATACCCAGATTATAGCCATCTACTTCCAGTGAATTTTGTAGTGGTTTATTTCTAACAATAGACATTAAATATTCCAATATGTTAATATGTTTTGGGCAGAAAACAGGAATTAATTATTTTACTTTATAGACAAATTATAATGGTTAATCTTTTTTTCCCCCCTCCTCAATAGGACAGTCTGTATCTGGGGAATTGTTGCTCAAAGAACTGCCAATTACATCACTTGCTTTTATATTGTTTTTCTTTCAAAACTTGATCGGCTTGGTGCTTTCTTCTGCAGGACAGGCTGGCTCTCTGGATGGTTAGAGGTCAATCAATGATGAAGGCGGGGCAGGACGGTGGTGGAGAATCGGGGGAAATTGGATGGCATCCTATTTTTGTGTACTGACACTTTAAATATGTGGTCTTTCCTACCTGAAATATTTTTACCATGTCATGTATTGGCATGTCATCCATGTATAAAATATCCTGTGAAAGAGGATACTCTTTCAGTTAATTCCAGACTTGCTTGTTTTAATCAGTTATTATCTTGGCATTAAATTCCTGCTTTTAACAGACGTTCTCCTGGGGGTGCAGTACATGAGTAATGGGTTATAGAGGATGAAGTCCCTTAATGCAGCAAATAATATTTTCTGTTGAAAATTTAAGAAAATGTTTAACACTAGAGAATTTGAGATATTTTAATGAATTTAGAGTGAATGGGGCTCACCTATCAGACTGTCTCACTTTCTTAGCTACATTCCAGTAATTAATCCATTAAGACTACATTTGTTTAATTACACTTTGGATTCCAGTGTTTAAGTGATGACCAATATAGACCATCCAATCAACAAATTAAAAAAAAAAAAAAAAAAAAAAAAAAAAGAAAGAAAACCACCATGTGCATTTAATAAATAGAAGCTTTATTATCAAACACATTAATTTGCTCATTACAAATGACTCTGGTTCATAAAAACACGGCAATCTTGGAACTCAGTGCTTAGAAGCACCAGGTAAGTGACCTGTTGAAACTGATGTGAAGTGCACTAAAACATCATCTAGTCCTGGACATGTAACCTAGGTGTTTTAAGAAACAGCTCAACACAATGTCCAAACATCAATATCGCGCTTTGCATCGCTATTTCTGCAGAAATAAGTTTCCTCAAAAATGTAGGAGTCCTTACTTGATTCTCCTATAGAAACTGATTCTTGTGAATCCTTGAGAAGGGGTGCATTGTCCTTTGTTTACAATCTTTTGTTATTATTTATCATTGATAATCACCACAGCAGTATCTGATTTGGAATAGTTTTATGCCAAATAGTATGGCAATTCTCCAGCTGGAATTGAACCAGCAACATTTTGTATGCTTGGCAAATGAAAACTTTTCTGGTTTTGGGTATCTTTAAACTTAATTATATTTTGTAATGATCAATGCTCTACCATGTACATATCTGTTTTTAAAGGTTCTGTGTGTTTAGATTAAGTAGTTTCTGAAGTGTCTCTTTCCGCATCTAATACACACCATCCTGAACACACAGACTTGACTAGCTGTCCAAAAGTTACTGTGCTCACAAGAGCAGTGCATTTATTTAGATCTGTTGTAAATACATTGTTAGTCTTTTTAACTAAAAACTGTTACAGTTAGATTTACCTGTCTGCTGATACATTTTAGTTGCATTTTACTAAGAATAGCATTGCCAAGTGAATGTTATATATTTTTTGATTGTGGTTCATGATCTTACCTGCAGATGCAGTGTGACAAAGGAGGAACAGGATCATTAGCTTCACCACCATGTTCAGCGTGTTAGAGTTAAACTGAAGAATTAACAAGAGTCATTTGGTTTTACAGGCTTGTTCAGTTTGAAGGCATTTCCTGGTTCAGGTTGCGTCTTCAGGTATGTTAAACTTCAACTGAAACCAAACACAACCTTAACTCTTACCCTACACTTGTCATGATAGGCTGTGTGGCAGGCAGGCAGGAAAAAGCACAGAAAACGCAGGACTGGAACTCAAAACGCAGCTTTTATTGCTGGCAAAACCTCCTCATAAAATAAAACTCACAAAAATCAAAACTCAGCACAGAGGCACTGGACCATGACAAACACACAGCATGTAGAGGTTACAACACAACAAAAGCAAACACAGGGCTTAAATACACAGTGGAGTAATAAGGGAATGGAAAACAGTAGGGAGACACAGCTGGGAGAAATTAGGGCTAAGGAGACAGGGGGAAGTAAAACTGAATATAATGACATAGGACTGGGACTATCAAAATAAAACGGGAAACATGAAACAAATCAGAAAGATGCAAATTTGACACTGAACTCAACGTAGAATAATAATCAAAAAAGCACAATTTAAAGAACCAGAGCATCAATTCTAATACAGAAAAAACACCAAAATATAAGAAACAGAAAATGCTGGGTCAAAATGACCCAGAACGGGTCATGCTATTTAAATTGGACTGCCAGCATCTTCTTTTGTTTTATTAAAGAGGGTTAAAACTTTTTTTGTACCTGTTCCTGCCTGTATGCACATGTGTGCACGCGTGTGTGTGTGAAACAGGTGGGAAAAGAAATTTGTTAATTTTCTGCTGTCCCGCAGCAGAGTGAACACCTCCTCTGTATAAAGAAATCATTTGACGAAAATGAACTTGATTCATTGAAATACAGAGTTTTACTAATCTATCGTTCACTAGCCGAGTAGAGTTCAGCAATGTTATGAACCCGCCTGTGTCAAAATGCTGGTGGTGGCACAGATGAAGCAGGTGGGCACTTGGAACATGACGTGGAGATGGGGAAGATGCATGCTGCACTAATGTGAATCTGAAAGGCAGAATGACAGAAGAGCACAATGAACAGCGGCTGGTGGCTCACAGAAAGAAAATGATTGGGCCAGAGCGATGGTCACAAAATAAAGTTTGACAACACTCACTGCAAAAGTTGACTTATATGCAAATATAAGGAAAAAAATATTTAATTTGAGAAGATCCAGACTACAGTCAAGTGAAATAGCCTGCCAGTGCAGTAAGTTACTTAAAGTTGGTAAGGTTTCTTGAAATAAGAAACAATATCTAGACTTTAGAGAAGTAAGAAATATCTTAAAAGAAGTGTTGAAACACTCATTCCAAGTACACCACCGGTCAAAAGTGTTAGAACACCTCAATTTTTCCATTTATTTTTTGCAGTAGAAGTTGTTCAAGTCCAATGAATAGTTTGAAATATTATAAAGGGTAAGTTGTGAAGTGCCAGGGGTTAAAAAAAATGTAAGGTTACTGAAAAATAATGCACATTTTAGAATTAGGCCTTTTTTAGCGAACACCAAATGGGTCAACAATTTAAAGCTGTTCTGCATCAATGGAGCGTGATCGAGCCTTGAAAGCTGGTGCTACTAATTCCTACAGGTGTTCCAACTTTTCTGGATTACTTACAACCCCCTCTGCCTGCATAAAAGCAGTGATGGCTGCGCTGATTGCTGTCATCAGAGCGACCTATTTAGCAGTGTGGCTAACCTCCAGTTGACGTTGGGTTGTTGAGTTACTTCTCGGCAATAGAACAGGGATGAGCCTCGCTTGTTTGTTTTAAAATTGCCTGCCAACACGTGTGTTTTTTTGGGGGGGGGGTTGTCCCCAGGGATTGGAGAGCAGAAACTGATTCACGGGAGAAGTACAAGAGAGGAGCCACGAGTCAGAGCATGAGCACGGGATTATGAATAGAAGCACGGGTTGAAGCACAGATTGTTGGAGCTGTTTTTTTTCGCTAGCACAGACATTCGCACAGTGTGGAGGACTTTCTGAAGCCTCAGTACTTGTAAATTGTACATATTTATTCGTATTAATCATTTTAAATAAATTCACTGTTTTCTCTTGGAAGTGTCCAGTGTTTGGTTCCCCTTTCTACCCACCGATCCATGACAACTGTACTGCAGAAAGTAGCGTGTTGCTGCAAAAATGGTGAGGAAAAGGGGAATTAACAATGGAAGAGAGAAAGACCATCATAACACTTAAAAATGTAGGAAATTGCAAAGAAAGTCAAAATGTCAGTGAATACAGTTTCATTCATAACTAAAAGGCTCTCAGAAACTGGGACAAACTCTGATAGGAAGCGGTCTGGCACAGCCAAAGCCATAACTGGCTCAGAGGACAAGTATCTGAGAGTTAACAGCTTGCGTGATAGGTGGCTCACAGGGCAAAAGCTTAATAGTGGTTGTAGTAAGTAAGTATCAGTTTCAACTCAAGAGAAGACTTTATGCTGCAGGTTTGACAGGACAAGTTGCAGCAAGAAGGCCATTACTAAGACATCAGAATAAGACAAAGATGCTTGCCTGGGCCATGAAACGTCGCCATTGGACTACTGAAGACTGGAAGAAGGTATTATGGACTGATGAATCAGAATTTGAAATCTTAGTTCATCATGCAGGATCGTTGTACATCTTCAAGTAGGCAAAAGGATGGTTCCATAGTGTGTGGCAGCAACTGTCAAACATGGAGGAGGAAGTGTGATTACCTGGGGCTGTTTTGCTGGATCCAGGGTCGGTGACTTTCACATAGCGAGAGGCACCCTGAACCAAAACGGCTACGACAGCATTCTGCAGCACCATGCAATACCCGCTTGTATGCGCCTAGTTGGTCCTACAGCAAGATAATGACCCAAAACATAAGTTTAAGCACTGCCAGAACTGATTCAGGAAAAAGGAACATGATTGAAAGCATGAAAACATGGAGTGTCCAGCACAGTTCGAACACCCCATCGAGCTGGTTTGGGATGAACTGGATGGAAGAGTGAAAGAAAAGCAACCTGCAAGTGCCACACATTTATGGGAACTTTTGCAACAGATATGGGAGGAAATTTCTGAACAATATTTGATTTCTGTTGTAGAAAGAATGCCACAGGTGTGTTATATCTGCCAAAGGTGGCTACTTTGATGAGTTTAGAATAAATTTTGTTCTATAAATTGAATCTATGATTTCTTTTTTTTTAGCTCCAATTGCTTATTTGTGCTATGCTTTCATTTCACAGTGTAATGACTTTAAACTGAATAATTTTCAATAAAAACTGGATAAATTTGAGTGTTCCAAAACTTTTTGACCGCTAGTGTACTTTATTAAGTCAAAAAAAAAAAAACCCTCAAAAGTAGCCTGTCAGTGCTTCTTTCTCACTTTGAGAAAGAAGCATTCTTCTGGTCACCAGTCTATCACAGCTAAAAAGCATATACAATTTAGAATCATCATTAAACTTAACTGCATATCTTTGGATTGCAGGAGTGGACACATTACCCAGAAAAAACCTACAGGAAGAGGCCCAAGCCAGATGGTGGAGTCAACCCTGGATCTTCTTGCTGTAAGGCAGCAGTCCCCAACTACGGACTGGTTTAATATCAGACAATATTTTCAGGGACCGGCCTTTAAGGTGTTGCAGATAAATACAACAAAATAAAAAGATATTATGAAGACAAATATTGTGTATTTTGTAAATATAAGGATATAAATATGGGGCGATCGTGGCTCAAGAGTTGGGAGTTCGCCTTGTAATCGGAAGGTTGCCGGTTCGAGCTTCGGCTTGGACAGTCTCGGTCGTTGTGTCCTTGGGCAAGACACTTCACCTGTTGCCTACTGGTGGTGGTCAGAGGGCCTGGTGGTGCCAGTGTCCGGCAGCCTCGCCTCTGTCAGTGCGCCCCAGGGTGGCTGTGGCTACAATGTAGCTGCCATCACCAGTGTGTGAATGTGTGTGTGAATGGGTGGATGACTGGATATGTAAAGTGCTTTGGGGTCCTTAGGGACTAGAAAAGCGCTATATAAATACAGGCCATTTACCATTTACCATAAATAAATATAACCATAAGTATGACAAGGGACAAATTGTGATGGCTTGACAACTGGGTCATCTCTAAAACTGCAGATCTTGGGCTGTTCCCAGTATGCAGTGGTCAGCATCTATCAAAAGTGATCCAAGGGAGAAACAGTGGTTAACCAGCAACGGGGTAATGGGTGACTAATTCTCACTGATCTACATGGGGAGCGAAGGGTGGCCTGTGTGATCCAATCCAACAGATGAGCTGATGTGGCTCAAACTGCTAAATAAATAAATAATGCTTGTTCTAATAGAAAGTTGTCAGAATACAGAGTACATTGCAGTCTGCTGTGTATGGGGCTGCATAGCTGCAAACCAGTCAGGGTGCCCATGCTGACCCCTGTCCACTGTTGACAGTTCAGCGAACTGGAAAATATTAAGCATCAGAACTGGACGGTGAGGCAAAGGAAGAAGGTAGCGTGGTCTGATGAATCATGTTTTCTTTTACATCACGTGCTGCCAGGTGTTGCCAACTATCGGAAGAACGGTAGCCAGTGGAGGCAGTTCTGAGTATACTACAAGCAGTATTAAAATAAGTCAGTGTACATCAGGTAGTTAACATAGATCTTCAAGATACATACTGTCTCAACGTTTAGTAAGACCTTTCAACTACAATCAAACAAGTAATAGCACATCACCCTGTCAAACTGCATTGTTCACTAAGACAAGTGAAGATTTACTATTTAACTCTGTGCACAATTTCATATAAAGGACCATAATGCAACATGATATAAATGGAAACTTCACTCTTCAGTCATTTTTAAGCCAATCCAAGAGTTTTGTGGAAACTCAGTGTTTCTGAAAAAATATGCTGGTAATGACTTTCCTATGGTGTATATTCACCAGTTTTTATCTTTGTATCGATAAAGCTGGTTTACTGGTTTACCATTCGTTAACAAGACAAAGACACACAGCAACTAACACTAAGATTCTGTTGCTGGCACACTTCAGATGTTTTGGTGATCCTTTATTTACCATTTCTACAGTTCTACAGTTTCTAATTGACCAACGATAAGACATTGTTAGATGCGTAGAGTATGTTTACAACAATGACTCAGTGAAGCTGATTCAAATTACAAATCTGTGAATCAGACAGACCGCTGGAAAAAGGTCAGTTGAAATATTTGACCATGCGCTAATTTACAGATAGTGCTACAACACTGTCTACAACATTCAACCAGAAGAAGGGGGACGTGCAGAACCACTGGCAGGTCAAATTTTGGCTACTATTACTCGT